GACAGTGACCAGGCAGAGCTGGGAGGAAGACTCCTGCACTTTGAATCCACTTCTTCATCTAGGTGGCCATGATGCTTAACTGAGTACTAGCTTTGTTATTTGTTTCCTGGCAGATAAGAAGTTAATTAGAAAGGTAGCCTGAAGAATAAAAATAAAGCTGGAGGAATCACAATTCCAGATTTCAAGACATACTACAGGGCAGTGGTCATCAAAACAATCTGCCACTGGTTCAGAAACAGAGATCAATGGAACAGAACAGAAACCTGAGCAGTGAGCCCACACATGGATAGCAAACTCATCTTCAACAAGAGAACTTAAAAACTATCCAGGGAAAACAGTGGGGAAATGGGGCGGGAGAAAGGGGCCTGTGGACCTGGGATGGGAGGGAGGCTGGATGGGGTTTTTCCTTTTATTTTTCCCCTGACCTCAGATATTGGGGGAAAAAATGATGATATTAGTATAAAAACAATGGTATTACCCACTTTCCTGAAGCCCTTGACCCTTTGTGCCCTAAGTAACTAAGTAAGAATATAAAAATAAATAAATAAATAAATAAAAGTTTTTTAAAAAATAGTGTAACAGAGAATAAATAGCTAATTAATTTGAGTTCTTCACTGCCATCTGATATGGCACAGTACTTAAGCCACTACTTGGGCTGTCTGCATCCTGTGTTAGAGCGTCTGACTCAAGTCGTGGCTGCTCCACTTTAATCCAGCTTCCCACTAATGCACACCCTATGAGAAGCAAGCGATGATTAAGGAGCTGGGCCCCTCACGTCTGTGTAGGAGACCCAGATGGCACTGCAGACTCCTGGTCTAGCACTAAGAACTGCGGGCATTTGAGGACTGAACCAATAGACGGAAGCTAGAGTTCTTTCCAATAAAAATGTATTAGAGACACCACTACCTGTCACATTTTGATACAGCATCAAACAGGCCCAATTACCTGAGGAGGTGGTTAAAATATTCCTCCCCTTTCCTATTAAACATCTGTGGGAGTTAATACTTTAAGTAATTACAACAACAAATTGTAACTCATTCAATGTAGAATCCGCTAAGAATCCAGATGTATCCCATTACAAACATAAAGTTGCAAAAACTGTAAACAATGTCACATCTTCCACTTATCTTGAACATGTTTCATTTTAAAAAGCTGTTTTATAACACATAAAGGCTTATCGCTGCTGTATTTATTTAAGAGGCAGAAAGAGAGCTCCCTCCTCAGGGTTCGCTCCCAAAATGCCAACAAAGCCTGGGGCTTGACAACGCCCACAGCAGGAACATGCCCACCTGGACTGCAGGAATCCAGTCACACAAGCCATCACCTGCGTGTCCAAGGCCTTGGCAGGAAGCTGGCGTCAGGAATCAGACCCAGACACAGCGATGCTGTGTGCGCCGGCATCTTCATCACCAGGCCACATGCTCACTCCCTAATATTTATCTTTAAATCTGTAAAGCAAACATTTCCTGTTAGTTTTTCATGGAAAATATCAATGGGCATGGCTCCCATAAACAAAATCTTTCTGGGTTCTTCAATAATTTTTAATATAAGGAACTCTCCTGATTTAAATTTTTTGAGAATCACTATATGGCAGACATTCCAACTCATGTCCAGATGTTGTCAGCACCAGACAGAAAATCTACAAGATGAACCCAGCACACGCTGTGCCAGAAGCTACCAGAGACCACAGAATTACACCACAGAATTAAAAAAAAAAAAAAAGGCATTAACACAAAGGAGCCCTTCCTCCACCCACTCAACAAATAAAAATGGCGTAATTGGAGCATCAAGTGAGAACAAGAGTTGGAACTGACTAAAATGCATTACATGCATAACTACCCATGAATTCCCAGTTTCAAAATAATCACACCCAGGACCACCACAAAGACCCCTGGGTCACCTGTCCTTGCAGAGGGTGGAACATGTGCAGAGGATGCAGTGCCCAGTAACCCGGGCAGCATGAGGGGCCAGGGCCAGGCCAGCTCTTCACTGACACTCGCACAAGGACTGCCTTCTGAGGACATGCTGCTCAGGGGTTCAGAAACTCCTACCACGCTCATCTCCTGGACAGAACTGGATTCTTCCATCAATCTGTTGACTCTGGGGTTTAACCATCTGCCCAAGACTGGGAGACAACATGCATCAACAGATTCCTCTGAAAACTGGTAAAGGCCTCAAACTTGCCCAGCTGTTCTTGTACAAGTTTTCAGGAAAAAAAAAAATTGATAATGGGTATATTTTCATAACTCCAAATACAGGGGGAAAAAATGCTATTAGAAAAACACTACAACCCCTAACAGATGCAACATCAACATTCCATGGATGCTAAACCTCATGAGAAAGAAAATAATTGATGGACCAAATTGACCTGTAGCTGGATTAATCCTAATGTCCTTGAGAACTAGTAACCCTTTGTGCTTCTGATCAGGAAAGAAAAACAAAGTACACAGGCCATTTGTGAACTATTGCCCAAAGCAATCAAGCCTCAAGTATCAATTTAAGGGAAATCTGTGGAGGAGTTATTAAAAAGTAATCACAGAATGCAGAAAAGGTGCAGAATAACCAATTCTGCAAAAATGACAAGAAAAGCTTCTGATCTCAAAGGATTGACTCATAAGACAGACTTCAGAAAAATACTAAGTAAAATGCAATGCTGGATCCATACTTGAACCAATCAATGGCACGAGGGCATTTTTGAGACGATACAGATTAGGTATTGAGTGGTTTAGCTAGGTATGATAAAATGTTTTTCTGATACACATAGGTGTGTGCTTTACAAATTTAAAACATTCCAAGAGGAAAAGAATAAAGGGATGTATCAATTTCACCACAAATTCTAAGTATCATAGAGTATAGGTAAGGATACAAGGGACTTGTTCAATTTTAATTTTGTTCCTGTTGGAAAGTTATCTGTAATAGGGGCTGGTGTGGTGACTCAATTGGCTCACTCAACATCTACAAGCACTGGGAATTTTAGGTGTGAGTTCTTATCCCATCCACTTCACTTCCCATCCAGCTCCCTGCTTGTGGCCTGGGAAAGCAGCAGAGGATGGCCCAATGCCTTGGGACCCCACACCTGCGTGGGAGACCCAGAGGAGGCTCCTGGCTCCTGGCTTTGGATTGACTCAGCTGCAGCTATTGAAGCCATTTGGGGAGTGAACCAGAGGATGGAAGATCTTCCTCTATAAATCTGCCTTTCCAACAAAAATAAGCAAATCATTTTTTTAAGTTTTCTGTAATAATAAAGTCAAATAATACCCACAGACACCTATACGAATAGCACGGCATACAAAATAAGTACAAGCCCTGCACTTTTGTGATCCTGGCAAGAAAATAAGAGTGAAAAGGGGGCTGTGCAAGACCACTGAATGTTCAAACTGAACAATCCTGGCAGTGCAATGACTCCAGGGAGAGGATCCTCAGGAATCACCAGGGAGCTGTAGGGAGGGTGTTTCCTCAGACAGAAAGAGAATACGGGCCCTTGCTTTGGATTTTCTTTGCTCACTTACCACAGACTGACTTTCCAGTCCTTAGACACACTGGCAACAGAACAGAAACACCCCAAATGCCTCCAAGGTGTAAAAAGACAAGTATATCTATTGCACTCTGTAATCTGAAAGCACAATTTAAAAAACAGAAAGATGCATAAGTACTTAGAATACAGGCACACATGCAAAGAGCAATGGAGTATTTTTAATGCAAGAGTCTTTTCAAAGAACAAAAACACTTCCTAGAAAAGGGACAGTCTCTGTATTCCTTAAATCACAATACATTTAAGTCATAAATTGAAGATACAGCTGCAATATGAAACATTAAATAATACTAAATGTCCTATTATAGACCAAACTAACGCTGCTACACTTGGTATAAATGAATATGGAAAGATTTTAGCCATTTAGCCTAGGAAGATACTCCAGGAAGACACAAAGATAAAAAAAAAATCCCAAGAAAATGAGGAAAACGATAAGAAAAACTCATAAATGAGTATACAATCTACATGGGAACCCAGATTACTAGAAGTTTGAGTTTCCACTAAGTGAAATCAAATGCTGAGGCTGAATGGTAAGAACCTTATCAATCTCTTATCAACCCTCACCTCTTCCCAGATCATTCCAGTATAAGCTGGTATTTGCTCTTTTCATTTTGTATGACGGTCTATAAGAAAAGGCAACTCTTAAAGTGATTCAGTCACCAGAGAGTGAAATAAAAGCACTTTATTTTAAATTTGCAATGTGTATGGATTAGCTCCAAATAAACATTTCATTACTCTCTTTTTCAGATTGTTTCAACTACATATCCTGAAACATATCTGTGGACTATCAGTTATTACATGTAGGACCAAGCTTCAGTTTACTTGCTATTTGGTCCATTAAGCCAATCTGAAAAAAAAAAAGTTTACCAAAGAGAAATTAATTTTTAATACTAAATTTGAAATATGAAATGTGTTTTTCATTTCAACATCTAAATTTTTTATATCTAGCACTGCTCCTAAGGTCCACCTAAAAAATGCTTTACCTAGTTTCTTAAAAATGTAAATAGGTAGCGAAGGCCCATTATCAAATAATTACCTCTCTTCAAAATTAACTATATAGTGAAACAGTCTTCAGCCAGGCCACACCTATCTGTACCACTGATGCAAAATAACCTGTCATCACTTTACTAGAAGGCAATATTTACATTACATCCACATTTTGTTCAAATTAAGTTTCACCAAATATTAGGCCTGAATGTATCTGTGTATTATTGTCTTCAGAACATAAAAATGAAATAGTTTGCAAGACAGAGCTCCCAGCTTCTGGCTTCCGCTGGCCCAGCCCCAGGAATTGCAGTGTGGGGACTGAACCAGCAGATGAGAATTCTCTTGCTCACACTCACAATCTATCTCTGAAAACTTTCACCTTTCAAATGAGGACATCTTTTTTTTATTAAGTCTTTTACATTTTGCTTAGAAATCTTTAAAATGCTATACTTACAAAATTCCAAGTAGTAACCAATTTGATAAAAACGTGCCAAAACTTTTCTCATGTTTTCCTGTTCTCCTCTGTTCACTAATTTTTGAGGTACCAATTTTCCTCCCTTTTCAATCAAAGAGAAATTCCTGTACAATACTGGTACCTGCCATTTTCATTCAATTCAATTTGAACCTTCAAATCAATCTCATCTCTAAAGCAATCGGAATTCAATAAACTGATCGAACAGATTTCAAAACTTTGTTTAAAAACATATTCTAGTATACCCCAAGGGCTATACATTCTGATAAAGATCAACGTGTAAAACACTAAACAGTCAATACTTCTTTGAGGGGCTCACATTTTCATCTAAACCCAGGCTGTCAACTTCAAACAGCTAAAGTAAGTGTAAGGAACACCACTCTATGAGCCCTAACCTAACATGGCATAAAAACTATTAAGTGCCAAGAGGTTTTTTCTGCTACTAGTCTATTTTCTATCAGGTTCCCACCATCATAAACTGGAACTCCTTCTATAAAGTCTGCAGTAGAAAATCTCCAGAAATCCACCTCTAACGTGCACATCCTTCCCTCCCCAACCCCACTCTGATGGACTCTATTTCTTTCCCAAAGTAGATGTTCCATAAATATTACAATATTAAGGACTAAATTTTAATGAATACAAATCAGAGGAAATGAAGGAACATTAACTCCCATTCAAATCTCCCTTTTAAAAAAAGTCTGTTTCCAAGTTATAATTTTAACTTTCCCTATGATTCTCTTTAAAAAGGATGAACACAAAAATTGCTCTGCTAATGACTTTATTCATGAATCTATAATGGAACTCAAAATAGCAAAGACATGAAAAATTTTCAGATGAATATTTATCAACCAAATACATCAGAGAATACATCTATTTTTCATATAACAAAATGCCTAAAAATGCACATGTGGGAATATAAACATTCTCCACTTTGTGAAGCTTACAATGAAGAAATATTTAACAGTTTGCCAGAAAGGCTCACAACACAAATATACAATTTGAAACAAATCAAATGTGATGGATAAAATAACCATTTTATGGCTATCGTAAGGGCAAAGTGTTACATTCATACTAAAAATCATTAAAAACTCTTCAAATGCTGAATCACCATCCTCAAAGCGTTACTATTCTCCAGTCCATCCCTTGCACATCACATCAAACATTCCCAATGAGACTATAAATACATTAAAATGTTAAAAGTCATTTCATTCACAGATTATTTCACACAAGTCAAAAATTTCATAGCTAAATTAGGCTTTTCATGATTGCAGAAGATTAGATAATTTTTCATTGCTTTAAACGTGATCTTTGGTTTGTAGCTGCTCCATTCTTTTTTTAGCTGGATGGTTGTGGCTGGTTAAATATTCATGGAATCAGCATGCCAGTTGCATCTCACTTGACATAAAATCAGGACGGGGTCTAAGGAGTACGAATGGCACACATGGAGACGAGGTCCCTGGAAGCCCCAACCACTGCAGCCAGGGCTGCAGAAAACCAGCATTGCTGAGGAGCGACTGGCCTCCTCCCATCATCGGCCTCTGTCAACTCCTTAACTGCGCGAGTCACTGAGAAGCAGTTAGTTGGAAAAACACCAGCCACCTGGAACGAAGGCACATGGGTGCCAGTCTGCAGATCTGATCACCTGACCTGCATAGGCAAGCACAGGTGTGACCATGGCAGGCATGATACCCGCGGCTCATCTGAAAGGCTGAACACCACCACTTCCTGGGAGAACTCCAGGCCAGCAGATGGACAGAAACTTCCTGGAGATCTAAATTAGCTGACAGTTTTCCAGAATGAACAAGAAGCTGGAGGATGCAGAAGCTGCCCTTGTCCTCCAATGAAAGATACCGAATCAAGAGAGCCAATGGATGCAATCAACATGAAAAACTGCAAGTTACAAAATTGAATCTCAGAAAGGCCACGCCCCATTTCATACTGGAAGGCTGCTGAGTTCTCTCTCTCCCTGAATAATTAAATGTAAATGTCTTTTGGCAATGGCAGCATTCAAATCCCATAAGAAATTAAGTAAGGGTCTCTTAAGGAGCACCTCCATTGGCACAAATTGTAAAACCTGCTGGGGAGAATCAGAGTTGAGCGAAGTACTCAAAAGTTCATTCACATGCTGCAGGTGCTGGAAAACAGGGCTGGGAAGGTCCTGATAACCAACACACAGCAGAACTGTGCAGGTCCTCAGGGGCTCAGAGGAGGTGGGGCAACAAAACGTGATGAACCTGAAGCAGCCGTGAAGAACAAAAATCAAACCAGCCATAAATCTCGTTAAACAGGAAAGTATTGGCAAAACCATAACATCTCCTGGCTGAAGCTGCTGCAGGCAATGCAGAAGACAGTCCAAAAATAACCGCTGGTAAGTGGGGTCTCCATCATGAAGCAAGGAACAGCTGAAAGTCACGAGTTCAGCTGACTCCAAGAGGCAAATTTCCATGGGCGCATGCATTTTGATATCCCGGAGAGCGGGCAAGCCCACGAGGAGGCACTTGGTTGGGTTGCTGGCTTCTGCAACCTGCTCATCCTGAAGGCACCTGATGAGGCTGAACACCTCAGAAAGCACCAGGTCGGCAGAAAAAAGGTGGCAAGAACAGCAATACTGCTGTTTGGGCCTGGGACCAAGAGCCCAAGTGCCTCCTAATGACTTCTCAATTGCTTCATTGAGAGTCTTCAAGACTTCGCCATCGCAGAAAGGGGAACATTTGACCTTTGGCAGTTTCTTGCCTTCTAAAACAGTCCAGGAGTGACATTCAAGGTTGGAAGCTGTCCCTTCCAACAGAGAGCTCTGCCCGGGCTGGTAGACGGCGTGCTCTTCTGCCCAGCTATTCAAGTACCCTTTGGCCACTTTCTCCTTCCACGAAAGGGTTTCCAGCATCTTCCTTTCATTGTAAGTTTTGAAATTTCTGTTCCTCTGCCCAAACCATTTTGTATTTGTACTACAACCGATATTAGATTTTTTTACTAACCGATTATTTTTGGAAAGAGGTTTCAGTTGACATTGTTGCATGAAATATTGCACCGCACAATCCCTTAGATTATTCAGTTTCTCTTGCTCCTCTTTTTCCATGCACTCAAACAGACGGATGTTTTGGGAAATAGTCTCCAGCTGATATCTATGAAAGAAAGCACAACATTCTTCATGTCTTTTAAGGAAAGACTCGGGAATTGCATGATGGGGAAAGAGAGCTTTCCTGGTCATTTCAGTCCCAAAATTCAGCGTCATCTTTGATAACACAGGAGAGATGGCCTCTCTTCCCTTGTAGCGGAGACACACCACATAGACTTCTGAGTTCCCTGCCTTGCTAGTTGCAGGTTTGAAAACGTGGACTTGGTCAAAGGAACAGTTCAGAAGGTACATCAGGTTGATAGAGCAATGTTCAAACAAAGTAAACATCTTCAGGACAAAAGAGCCACCATTTCCAAGAGTGGTCAGAGCGGTGACAGCTTCACAGTAATGCAAAGAGGAGACCAGGGCCTCCTGCTCACCTGGGTTCCCTTGGCAGTCAAAACTCCCATCGGCAGTGACCAGGTGCACGGTAGCCATGCTGCTTACAAAATGCTGCAGTCCGGTCAGGTACTTCGGGGTCATGATGTCACCAGTGTTATCAGGACCAAAGTACCACCAACGCAATGTATTCGCAATAAGTCGGTCATCCATAATCATCATCAGATTGTCATTTGCCTCATGGTATGGATTTAGGGTATTGGCTACCCAACTCCATTCACAGGGGAACTGGTAGGACTTTAAATAGTGATTGAGGCTAGCGATGAAAGCCCCAGGAGCTTCACAGAGGTGCACAGAATTCAGTTTTTGATTCTGAAAAGCTTCCTGCGGAATGAGTGGAAAGTTGCACAAAATCTCATGAAACTTACACCATGCTTGGGTGCACAGCTCGGCATTCACAGCTTTCCTCACGTGGGAAATGATCTTCCCTGCTTTGTTTGTGAAGGCTGTGTGCTCGTGCCACTCATCCAGCTTCTTGTCACTCAATAGGTTTTTCACTTCATTTAGGGAGCGTTTCAGCTCAAGAAACACAGTCAGTTCTGAGTGGTCACAGCTGAAAATCTCTTGTGGACTTGGCAGCTGCCACTCACCATTGAGTGGCTTTCTGTAAGGGAAGTTCTTGGTGAACAGTTCAGAAATGTCAGCAAGTACCTCTGGACTAAAAGCCTCTGACCCTGCCATCTGCTGAACTGGTGGCTTTCTGCACTTACTCATTTTCAAGCCAAATTAAAATCTAGAGAGAGAAAAACACATAATTAAACGAACCAAACAGATGAATAAGTCACACCCCTTAAAATGCAGAGGGCTGACAGCAGCACAAGCTCTTACAGAATGACCGGATGCGCAATGAAGCCAGAGCAAAGGCTTTGCTAGTCCACAGACCTGGGTTCAAATCCCAGCTCTGCTACTTGCAGCTTGGTAAATGGCCTTGGGCAAATTATTTTGTATCAAATCTTTGTTCAGAGGATAAAACACAGTGGCACACACACAGCATACACTACGGAATGTCAGTGAATGGCAGCTACTACTATCGTACCAATAACCCATCAAAATCCTTCCCATGGTTCTCTGCCCATGGCTGGCACACCAACTGCTTGGTCTCAAACACACATCCAGAGATCCATCTCTGAACAGCTCTACAAAATGGCTTTTAACTTTTTTTTCATACCTTGCCTGCTTCTGGGAAGAGATTCTGCACATGAACCCAGCACTGGTCCTGCTACTAGGCCTTTGTGCCAACAACCACTCTACTTACTACCAGGACCACTAACCTTGGAGAACACTTCCTCTATGCAGATTTCACTCTGCAAACACAGCACACTTTTGGTAGTACTAACTGTGGCAGGCTGATCAAATCTAACGCAGAAATGAATTGAAGGCAGGCTCTTAGAAGCTCAGGAGTCTTTATTCACCTGCTGGCACCAACCAGTGAATTGTTCCATTCCATGACATGTGGAAGAGGGGAGCAGTCCTGACGAGCCATGTTCAAGGATTCTTAAGCAATCAACTAAGAGAGCACTGGCACAGGAAGCAAATCAATCAACCAAGATCACCTCAGTGCACAATACAAATGATCCAATCAACTGTAGGAGCATGGAATACAGATACCCAGTTTAAGCATCATACATTTTAAACTATCCAATCAGTAAGAGTTGCATCTCACCTAGTAGTGAACAACGGAATCATGGGAAAAGGTCTTCCATTCACAGAAAACAATGTGGGACCATTAGCCTACTTCCTGATATTCAAAAGGAAAGCAAGATCTCATCCTGCAATGAGGTACCATCCTGTGATAAGCACTGTCACTTCCCTTCCGGGACTTTCCAAGAACCCAAGGTTAAGGCAAAGGTCAGGTTACGGACTCGTCCACGCTCCGGAAGACCTAGTCCGTTTCCTATTTTTGTCTGTGCTGTCACACCAATCACCCAAATAGCCCCAACTACACTCATCGTTTTGTAAACTGCTAGAACTGAATTCTTCCCCTCCTGCTTGACGCACCACTCGTCCACCTGGCATGTCACTGCACTCTCACTATTCTTCTTGCTCCTAAAACTCCGTAAAATGCTCTGGTAGTCTAACTGTAAAATGAAACAGTATTTTTATTAAAGACAAACAAATATTCCACATTCTCTCCTAGAGAGGAAGGATTCAGTTCATGAATTCTGTACTTACAGGGCATACCAATCACTTTTTAAAAAAAACCTCAGTTTGCTAAATGTGCAAACACTGGCAGATGTGTGGGAGATGAACATGAGCTGTGAGCACAGCTGTCCTTGTACTGAAGGTGCCTGTGTGCCAGATCCCAGCACCTGGCTGTGCTCCCAGGTCCAGCTTCCCGCTAATGGGGACCCCAAGAGGTAACAGGTGCTGGCTCAGATAACGCAGTCCCTGCCACCATGTGGGAAACTTGGGCTGTGTTCCTGGCTCTTGGCATTACCCTGGCCTTTGTGGGGATCTGAGAAGTGAATCTGCAGATTTGTTAGTCTTGCTCAGCCTCTAACTTTTAAAACACTTTTAAAAATGCACTACTGCCACAGTACAACATCCAAATGACTTCATTCCAGCAGCCTTTGCTTCTACGTGACTTTACCACATTTTCATCATTTTGTGTTTATGTACAAGGGCGTTCACGTGACCAATGTGTACACTCTTTGAAGTAACAGGTGTAAGTATTAGTACTTATTATTATTTAGTAATACTACAAAGTATTACTACTTAGTACTCATTATTACTTTGCTTACCAATTTATGGACAAATTACAAGTAAAAAGCTCCTGCTCACAGTGACAATTACCCATCAGCATCTTTTCCTTTCTTGCCTTTGGGGTTTTCGTTTCATTTTCAGTTTAGTAGCTATGCTCTTAGACAATTCTGACGGCAAAAAGGCACTTCTGCATTCACTGAAACCCTAAATGAGGGAAAGTAACGCGAACTTGTCTGAGTTCACACTGCTCACACTGCACACGACCCACACATCTCCACGGTGGTTTGGAAGACGCTGGGTTTCCCGTGTCAACTCCTGGTTATGGGTACACTGACATCTTCCTTTAGCTAATACACCATCACTGTCCGCTGAAGGCAGCTGAGGCCATCCCAGCACTCCCTGCTTTGATTACAGATCTCACCAATGTTCTTCACACCCCTCCTTGTGTTCCGGCCACACACCATCCCCACCTGGCGCAGTGCGAAGACCTCCCAGTAGGCCACTCCCTCTGCCTGGGGCAGGCACCTGCCTAACTCCCTCACCCGCCTGCCTCTACTCAAATGTCACTTCCCCGTGACTTCTACAGCATCTTGCATTTCCTCGCTAGAGTTATTCCCTTCCTCCCCACATTCATTTCCTCTCTAACCTGGTTTTTCCGTGTTCACTGAAGCGTGTGGTTTACAGGATATTGGGGGGGGGGGCATGTTGCAGTGATGCGATGTTCTGTTGGTTATGCACCCTGCCGAGAGCTCTGCGGCATCAGAATTCAGGGGTGCGGGTGGGGGTGGGTCACTGTGATATTGCACACTCCAGTGTAAAAAGTTACACAGTTCCCTGCCTCAAGGCACAAAGAGGACACGTGTAGAATTCCTGAGCCGAACAGGAAGCCCACATAGGTGTCACTCCTCCGGTTAACCCTCAGAAAGGAGAGTTAGAAGTGTCTTTGGATAACTTCTGCTTCCAGCAAGCGGGAAAATGACAGCAGGTGTGTTTCATCTCCAGGGCTGCAGGCGAGTCCCAGCCGAACAGCCAGGTTCTCGCCGGGTGTGGAGCAAGCTCAGGCCCAGCTCCCTTCTCGCCCTCGGGGGAGTGGAGGGAGGCCCGGGCTCTCACGCCGGCCTGGGGAACCTTGGCTCACGGCCACCGGCACGCCCACCGTCTCCGTAGGCGCTCCCCTTCCCGCCTCCCCAGGAATGCTCCCCACGGTGCTCGTCACTCTACGTCCTCGGCACACCCAGCCCAAGCACAGGGAGATGGCCGAGCCCGGAGGCCGGGAAGGCCGCTCCTCCAGGGACCCGGACCCACCTGTGGGTCACGCTTCCGCCGAGAGCCCCGCCGCGGCTGCCCGAGCCCTTCCAGTCCCACCGCGCACGCGCCTCCGCGCGGCGGGGCTGGCGTCACGGCGTCCACGTGACGCAGCGCCGGGGCCTCCCGCCGGATACAGGAAGTGGGAAGGGTCAGTCCCCCGCCCGGCTGCCATGGCAACAGAAGGTGCGCGCGCAGGCGGGGGTGTGTCCTTGTCCCAACCTATAATAAGTGGAGGCGTGGTTCCTCACCCAAAAATAAAGTGAAATAGCTAGCTAATACGGATGCCCAAGAAAATTGAAAGAAAGTGCGGGGGCGGGGGGGTGAGTAGTGCCATGGCTACACACCTCACATAGGGCAAGCTGCAAACCAGATGTGCATGGTAGCCCAGTAGCTCTCCCTCCCAGCAATTTCTCCTTAGAAGAGAAGCTGACATTCATTTTGAGCCAACTGTGCGCCTCAATCATAACAAACAAACAAAAAAGGAAGCAGCCTTTAAGGAAACTGATTGCATTGCTGCTGGTCTAGCCGTATAACACAGACATACGTTATACAAGGCCGTCCACAGGCTGTGTGTGTCAACAGTATTGACCAAGAACACGGAGAAGGCAGAACGGGGTGCAGCGTTTCCAGGGTTATGTAAGGAGACATACAGGTATAAATATAAAGTGCTTTTTTACCTAGTCTTCCAGAACATGCACTAAAGGAAAAAATCTTATCCTCTTAAATAAAATGGTGCTGTGTTATGTGGACAGCCACATGGATTAAAAGCTTCATTCGGACTCCTTCCTCCCGCCATCAATAAAAATACACTTCCATTGGATTGCTAATCTACATCTTAAAATTCAGTAAGAAAATATATATAGGCTTTATGACCCTGAGGTGAACACGAAAACCACTGATCAGAAAAGTAATAATTTCAACATATTAAAATCAAGACTGTTCATCCAGACACCATTGAGAGTGACACCTGTAATGACATAAAAGATGTAACACATCCAGAACCTGTAACTCCTACAGATATTCCAGCAGAAAAATGGATGAAGATTTCCAAAAGATGGTCTCCAAAAGCACGACAAACAGAAAGTGCTCCGCTTCGTTAGTCTTTGGGAAAACACCAACCTATAAAAGGTCAGCACCAAAATAAGCTCCTTCACCTCCACTACTTAGTCAATTTCTTCAAGTACCCTCATCCGTAACTTATATCCCTTCCCCCAATACATGCTAATTTGTTGCTTCATATTCTTACCAACTTTTGGTGTTGTAAATCCTTTTTCATTTTAACAATTATTAGAAGTTAGGTTTTTTTGTGTGCTTTTAAGTTATTATTTGAACACAGCTCTACTTCCAAATAAAAGGAGGACCCACGATGAAACAGTTAAATATACCATGGCAGTATAATACAAGATTTTCTACCTTAGCCTATACCTAAAATGCCATGATTCTCTTAAATAGTAGAAACGTTAAGCTTGTAACTGTTACTAAAGGACTGTACTACTGTGGTAATAGGGGGAGGAGATGGTGGGAAGGAGGAATCCCTAAACCTCCAAAACTGAATCATAGATGATAATAATAAAGATTGGTTATTTGAAAGACACAGTGACAGACAGAGGAAGAAAGAGATAAAGAAAAGGAATCTTTTCTCTTCAAATAGCCACAATGGCCAGGCTGCAGTCAGAAGCCAGGAACTCCATCTGGGTCTCTCACGTGGGTGCCACGGGCTCAAGTATTTAGGTCATGTTCTGCTGAATCCCACTGCCTGGGAAGCAG